ACCAAGTGGACTCGACGCGATTCGAAGCGTCACCACTAGTAGAGTTTAGAGTTTGGAGTCGTTTTAACAATATTTTTATACTCAATTTTTGATGGTAAATCTGGAAAAATTATTTTCAGAAACCAAAAAAAGAAACAAAGTGAAAAATTTTGCACATTTTGAAAAATATATGTTTTTCTCGAAAAACGACACCTTTCGAGTATTTCGTATTTTTCGACGTGAAGGAAGTATTTGCTGGGGCTAAAAAGTAGATTTTCGTGATCAGCAGATCACGCTCTATCAAATGATGTAAAAAAACCCTAAAAAAAACTCCACTTGAAGTTTGAATTGCCTGCACCTTAAAAATGTCGTCGAAAATATCGGGCTGCTGCCGACTAGCTAAGTCTCTCAAGCTGCTGCTGTTGTAAGCAACAAAATATTTTTCTTTTTTCAGCCGTTGCCGAACATTGAAAAAAATTAAAATTTTTCTGCTGCCGCCGCCGCCGATCAACTCATCGACTTACACCTCTACATGTGAAGCGATCGAATGCTAATTTAATGTCAGTCTTTCGTTTTTCCATTTATTGCTTAGAGTAAAATAGAATTATCATATCTTAATTTTTCTGGTCATATCAGTGGAGATGAAGAAGAAGCGAAAAATTATAGTTAGATATCATTAATAAGTTTCTATATATAAATACAATATTTTTGTTAAGTTTCGGTTCATTTTGACTTTTTTTTTGTATTTTGCTAATATACAAAGTTGAACAGACATAGAAGATATATATTTAAAAGTAACATCCAAATTATTATTCAAATTCATTTTACACCAATGACATCCTTATCAAGAAAGGACGTTATTAGTAAAACGATTAAAATAATTTTATCAAAATTGTTTTTCGTCCTTTTGGATAATAATTAGTTTAGATGTTGCAAATATATAATTTTAACGTTTGTCTAACTCTATATATTCAAAACATTCAAAAAAAAAACTCAAAATGATCTAAAACCTATGAAAGAACCTTTATATATATTACCGTCACAGAATGCTCAGTAGTTATATGAGTTTCTTAAAGGTAGAATAGTCTTTATCTTATATCTTTACATGTTACTAAATGTTCAGTTTTTGAATTGATTGTTCTCTCTAGGGATACTCTCAATTCAAATGCTGAACGCGTTAAAACAGGTTGAACTTTTTGAAAGAGAATATATTCGTTGGAAAGCTTTAACATGTAAGAATAGACACTTTTCATGATTTTATTATCGTTTGAACTTCGACGCGTTTTCAAGAGTTATTTATTGTTTGTCTGACTGAACAGTTGAGTAGATGCTTAATTCGATTTCAGAAATAAATCAAAAAAAAATTTAAAAAAAGCCACTTTCATGTTTCAAGAGCACAGAAACAAAAGAAAAATTTTTCTAGCCCGTCTATTCATCATATGTATAAATCGAAAGGCATGTCCATGTTGAAACAGCAAAGAAAAGTAAAAGAAAAATTTTACATAAATTATAATTTATAAATTCGAAGGCATATCCGTGTTGACATGTGAAAATAGTAAGAGAAAAATTTTGTATAAATAATTATTATTATTTCAATTTTTACTCCGTTTATCACTGTTTACACAGAGACGAGTATGGATCGCGGCTCTTCGAAGGATGCTTCGCACTCCCACATCGCAATGCTGAGATGAAAAGTCAGTTACGTGGAGAAAAGCCGGTTTGGACAGTTGGGTACTAGATGTGTCGCACTAGAATTAGCAGTAGCATAATTCGAATCAGAATGAGTTAATGCAAAGATGTTAGCATCACATTAGCATTATTTTTCATTCGCACACATGTAACCA